AAAAATAGATAAACACCCCCCACACTTAAGCACGACATTGCCCTCAATGGAGCAAGCGAAATATAAGGGGAAACGATGTTACCTAGAATATGGACTGTCGGGGGACTGGAAATGGGACCAGTCAGCAGGTCTAGAGTCATCAAAACACACTAGGTGATAGAAACCATAGTTCCAAGTGGACAAACCAAAAACAAACGAAGGAAAAACAAACCTTGGTGGGGTTGCCTCCCCACAAGCGTTTCTTTACCGTCTTTTAGCTGGACGCCAGTAGGGTGGATACTCAGAGGTGCCTCCAAGAGCAGATCCACATCGCTCTTGAGGTATAGCTTCAGATGGTGGCCATGCACACGATGGGTGTGACCACCAACACTCGTCAACTCAACCTGGCCATCCGGCTGGATGCAAGCAAATGAATACTCGGATGGCCAAGGTGGTCGAGGCTCAGGAGGCAGGACCAGCTCATAGTGGTCTCCGGATTTCTTGTGAGCAGGCTTAGCAACCTGCAGTTTCGGCCGCCACTCCTCTTTGATCTTTTCTTTTGGCCATGGAGTGGACGAGAGCGGCGTCGAAGATATGGGTGGGGGATCCTGCAAAATGGGAAGCACAGAAGGATATACGACAGACTCGTGCTCCTGGTGAGAGACATCATGCAAAGGCGATAAAGCAGGGAGAGTATTAGCAATGGAAAATGTTATTCGCTCCTCGCCATCCCTCAAGACTAAGGTCCCATCATGAACATCTATGAGAGCCTTGGCGGTGGCCAAGAAAGGCCTTCCTAGTATAAGGGGCACTTCTGTGTCTTCATTGATGTCCAAGACAACAAAATCCACAGGATAAAAGAATCTGCCAACCTTAACCAGAAGGTCTTCCACTATGCCGCTAGGATGAACTATAGATCGGTCAGCTAGTTGAATACTCATACTAGTTGCACTAGGTTAACCTAGGCCTAGTTTCTTGAACAATTTATATGGTATCACATTAATACTAGCACCTAGATCCGCCAAGGACCTCTCTACAAGCAATTTACCTATAGAGCATGCGATAGTAAAACTACCTGGGTCCTTCTGCTTCTGCGGAAGCTTGTTCTGCAGAATGACCGAGCACTCCTCACTGAGCTCCACAGTGGCTAGCTCGCGCAGCCTCCGCTTCTTCGAGAGAAGCTCCTTCAGGAACTTCGCGTACTTAGGCATTAGAGATAGTGCCTTCATGAAAGGCACTTGGACATGCAGCTTCCTAAGCATGGACGAGAAGTTGCCGAACTCTGACTCTAGCCTATCTTTGTGAATCCTGGTGGGAAAAGGGAGCTTAGGCTTATATTCAGCCACTACAGGTTGTGGCTTTGGAGCTTGAGCCTCTGGCTCCTTATTCATCACCAGGTCTTCTTCCGGTTTTGGGGTGATTTGGGTCACCTTCTTGGCACTCTTCTGCGGTGCATCCGCAGTCACAGTCCAACTGCCAGGTGCACGATCTTGGTGTCCATATCCTGCAGGAGTGCCTGCTGGTTTCTCTAGCCAGCTTCATTCTTCATGAATTTGCCTGTAGCCACTTCCATGAATTGCTCCAATTTATTGAACTTTTGGGTACTAGTGCTGGCCAAGGTAGTCACTAGATCCCTCAGTTCTGACACCAGATCCCCCGGTGCTGGGACGGATGGAGATGCACCAGGCTGCTGGTACTGCTGCTGTGGGGGCTGTTAAAAAGCCTGCCCCTAGCTGGGCTGATAGAGTGGTTGTTGTTGCTGCATCTGGCCTGGGAGAGGCTGGTATGGCTGCCTCTGGTTTGGAAAACTAGCTGCAGGAGCCTGGAAGACAGGTGGCTTCGGATCGCTGTTGCCACTGCAGGAGAAGTTTGGATGCTGGCGCCATCCCTCATTGTAGGTGTTACTGTATGGGTCGTTGCGCCGGATATTGTTGATGAAGTTCACCTGCTCCTGGGGTGTACCTGACTCACGCATGGCCTGGCAGTCCTCTACAATATGATGGGCGCTCTTGCACCACTAGCAATGCATTGCCGGATGCTGCCCTGTCCCTGGAACCATCCCATTCCGATCGATGGCTGAGACTAGTTTAGACACAACCTGCACCGAATCAGAAGAGTGGGTGCCCACAGCATGTACACCTCAGCTTGGTGCTCGCCTCAACCTCCTAGCAGTTCCCCAATCATACCATTTCTCTGCCATCTCCTCAAAGAGCTGATTCAACTGCGGCGGCGTCTTGGTCAGCATGTTCCCGCTACAAACCGAATCAATCAGCTGCTTGTCCTCTGGGAAGAGGGCATGGTAGAAGGTGCCCATCTTGAAAGCATCATTGAAACCATGATTGGGACACCTCAGGAAGAGACTGGTGTATCTCTCCCATGCGTTCCGGATGGTCTCATCTTCATCCTGGGCAAAGTGGGTGATCTGCTTCTACAAGAGAGGAACTTGTCCGCCAAGTTGGCGAACGTGGTGATCGATCTAGGGGGCCTGGTGTCTAGCCACTCCTTGGCGTACCCCTCCAAAGTGAATGGTAAGTACCTTAGTTGGATGGCATCGGCTGGGACCCCATTTATCTTGATTCCATCGATGAGCTCGTGGAATCGCCTCAGATGTGATCGGGGGCACTCCCCCTCTTTGCCACGGAATACTACTGAGCCGCGCAACATAGTGATGACCGAGGTGCTCACCTCAAAGTTGTTGGCTGGGACTTGAGGGTGCTGAATGGGCGACCTCATGTCCGCGACTCTGGCGGTCCAGTAGTACCCCATGGTTTGCTCCTCGGGAAGGACCACATCATGGTCCTGTGGGTCACCCATCTCTTCCTCCTCGGTGATTTGCAACTGTGCTAAGGCCTCCACCGCAGCCAGTCGCGCCTTTAGAGCACGCTTGAAGTTCCTAGAGGTTCGTTCAAGCTCTTGGTCTAATGGTAGTAAATCTCCCGACTGGCTACGGGTCATGCACTACCTGCACACAATCAGCAAAAGCAACCCGTGAAGGCACACAGGTGGAAGAGAGAAAATGCAGTAAATAAAAGGCTAGAGTAACAAACTTTCACATTTCTCCAATAACCTAGAGGGTCCCCGGAAATGGCGCCAAAAACTTGACAGGCTGAAACACTACACCAAACTGCGACCAAGTGTAATCGCAGTTCGGAAATGCAGTAAAGTAGCAAGTTCTAATTATCAACCCGAGGTCTAGATCTACTGCCTACTCCGTGAATATCTATTATCTAGCTAACTAAGTCGATTGATTGTGGTTTTAACTAAAAGCAGTAAGAAAGCAGTAAATGGTTCGGTTTTCTAAAGCAAAGGAAGAGTCACTCGGGAATGAGTCCCCCTAGCTCTTTTGTTAGGTCTCAGCTGTAATTACCCTAGGTTGATTTACTGTTAATTAAACTGCGGAAGATCCGATAGTAGCTTGGAATCTCTTAAGCAGACCAAGCCCTCTCAGTCCAACTACCCGGCAGACGACTAGTCTTCACCGGGATAGAAAACCGAGGCAAAAAGCACAAAACTCCACTACTGGAATTGGGTTCCTGTACAAAGCAGTAGATTGATTAACTCTCGTATAACCAATCTACCACTACCGAATGATGAAGCTCTAACAACCTAATCAGATTCTATATATCTCAGGTTGCAGCAGAAATCAAGAAAAGATGATCAGACTTCAATTAATTCAATGAATCATGCATCATTCGATTAAAACCAAACAATATAACAATCCCAAGTCATTACAATAGAGATCCCTAACACATGGAACTAGGGTTCTTCATACCCAAGTGAGAGAAGGTTCTACTCCATAGAGAGAGAGAGGGAAACAAAATACAAAGCAGTCATACTCATAACAATGGGAAGAATCTGCTCTGTGATGATGATCTCCACTCCAAGGATGATTTCTAAGCTTGTTGATGAAACCCAGCTCCAAAACCACTCTTAGGATGTGTTCTTCACACTTTCTCCCTCTAGGGCTCTGTTTTTTGTTCCAATAAGTCGATTCCCTCTCTTTTGGCTCGAATTTGGGTAAAAACCCAGAAATTCACGACCACACGGCCAGGCCACACGGCCGTGTGGCTTTTTAGGCATGCCCGTGTGAGTGTGCAAAACGTCGCGCTTCACTTAAGTGGCTTCAGGTATGCTACATGGCCAAAACTACACGGCCGTGTGGATTTTAGGTGTGCCCGTGTGAGCTCCCTGGACTTTCCAAACGGCCACAAGGGGTCCCCTACACGGCCAGTGTGGCTTTCCCGTGCAATTTGGTGCCACACGGCCAGGTCACATGGCCGTGTGGGCTTGTTGGCGTGCCCGTGTGGCTTTTCCAGCTTTTCGTTAAACGCCCCAACTTCGTCCAATCGACCCCGAACTCGTGCCCAAACCTTCTTTCACGTACTAGGACCTGAAATATCACAAACAAGAACAACCTAGTGTGAAATCGGCCTAAAACACGAGAGATAAGACTCAAACGGTACAAGAATGGTGGATAAAAACATGTGTATATATTAAGTCATCACTTACATAATTCGCTTTCGGTTCTTCGCTCACTCAAGTACCATCACTTGCCTTCTTGTGTGTGTTGGCATACAATTCAATATCAACGCGCACCGCATCATCATCCTCAGCATCTTGGTCATATACCTGCTCCGTTTGAGCTGCTTGTGCAACAAGCTTCTTTTGCTCCTATACATGATTTTTCAAATGTTCAAACACGGTAAAGGTGTGTTAAGTGGCCTGTTTACCCCTAGTTTATGGTCATCTGTTCAAATTCAGATTTTTTGTTGTAGGAGTAAATAAAACATAATGCTTTACCATTTCATACACTCTCTGGTCGTGGGATTTTGCCCCAGTAGTGTGAGCTTACTGCTGCTTAGCCTTGTTTTTTTATGTTATTTATGCTCCGCCCCTGCAAACAAAAATGTGTGCTAAGCTGTCATCTTGTACAAGTGTCATCAAATATCCAAACACGACAAGTTTTACCTTGAATCGATCACTCTCAAAGTACTCAGAGAGGGCCTTCCAGTCTTCCTGTTTCACTCCTTCTGCAGGGTCGGACGAGCTTTGGTCGGGTCTTCCTGTTCCATGTAGTGTTTATGACAGGTGTACTCGTAGTTCAAGAAGCGTTTGTGGAGTTTCTTATCTAAAGCCTTCCTCACCTCTTTGGTAGCTGAGACAAATGCAAACTCGCACTGCAATTTTACCAAATTCCATGCATTCAGACTATGCAATTTATAAGTTTAAATTAACAAAGACAGATTACCGTACCTCTAGTTTCACAAACATAGGGTGTTTGTCTTCATCAGTCAACTCAGTCCAATAGTACTTCCTTATGGGAGCCATCATACGAGCAACGACACCAACTTCTTTGTTCAACAACTTTTGGTTAGGGCCCACAATTGTGTGGGTGTTCTCCTGCAGGAATACTCCATCGATCCTACTCCCCCTAGTGGTTCGTGCCATCACTTGAACACCTTTGGTCAGCCCCTCTTTCGGCCACCTATGGATGTAGGTCAAATTATAATCATCCAAAACAGTAATAGAAATGTGATAATCCATGTTTCTCAAGTGACAAAAGAAGAGTTAGGATAACATGTTTGGACTTTGGAGCACAAAGTTATGGTTGTCCAAAGTTTGACAAAATCGGAAAAAAGCTCGTTCGGGGTAGCAAACGACATTTTTTGGGACGAAGGCGGGACCAAACCACCTTCGGCAGTCTTCGGCTTGCAAGTTCTCAAAAGGTTATGCGGAATAAAAAAAAATTGCGACGATCAGATACCCGAACACAAAGGTACATTCGTTTGAAGTTTTCACCTAGGTTAGGATATTTAAAAAAAAAGGCAGACCGCATGGTGGGGGTGCAGTCTGCAAAACCGCCCCCTAGTAGTGCGGTTTTCATCGAAAAACGCGCTCCCGGGTGGCGGTTTTCGCCTATACAGCTGGTTAGGGGGGGGTTGCAGAAAGGGTGCTATTTTTGGAATTTTTCGGAGTTGGGTGCTATTTTTGGAATTTTTTTTCAAACAGTGCTACTTTTGGAAAAATCCGTGATCTTTGAGCATTATCCACTGACAACTCATTATGCGTTAGGGTATAACTGACTTTTGATTGCAGCCTGTAACTTGCCGCAGCAGGTTGTAATCGACCAGAGAGCTAAATAACCTGCATGTAGTATTAAACTTGGAAATCAGTTTGAAGTAGCTCTAATCTAGTAAACAAATTATGCTTTTTTAAACTTAGGAAGGAGATAAACAGTACACCAGATAGATAGTCATCTTAGTTAAACCCAAAAAGCATGGTGCTTCAAATCATACGCGTTTCACAATCAACAAGAACAAGGGCACATACCAATTGCAGAAACAAAGGAAGAAGACCAATCTGTTTTCATGACAGAACATATAAATTGGGGTTTTCTGAACAACATCCACATTTTGCAAACAACCACCATCCCCATCAAAAACCACTTTTCACAAATGACGCCTTCATCCAAATCCATTGCATCAAATTAACTCATCTCGCGTACCAGCTACAAAATTTTCCTAACAGCTATCTATGTAAGCCAATCCATACACTGGGCTTACACAAAATCGACGGCCAAACTTACTAGAATTATCGACGGAGGGAACTCGCGGCAGGGAAGGCAGGCCGTCGAAGCAGAGTTGTGATCTTCTAATCGAAGACTGTTGATTCAGAGGGAAATCCCTACCCCTGTGCAAGAGCACCTATGAACGACAGAGATAGAAGAAGAAACATGAGGAACCCAACTCTGCTTTTATCGGAATCAGGTATCCACCATGCAAATCAAAACCAAAATCGCAGAGGACAAGGAGTCTAGGGAGTGGAGAAGAACGAGACTTACCGGACAATCGATTCGCGGGGAGGAGAACATAGCGAGACGAATCGCTGGAGAGGATGTGAGGAGAGGGGTTTGGACTTTTCAATTCGCAGTGGAGATGGAATTGGGGTTTCTGTTCTTGGCGCTTAAGGGTTAGAGAGGATTGGGGTTTTTTTCGTCTTGGAGGGAAGGGGAATAATAGTCCCGCTGAATGGACTTGTGGATGAAAAATAGAAATTCATAAAAAATGTAAAGAAAAAGTTTATTTCATTATGCACGCCATATTATGACAAACTCTATTGTCATATCATAGGATATTTTTAACATAATGTGACAAACCATAAGGTGACGGTGTGTTTTGTCATTCTGTAGCCGTATTTGCGCGGTAAATAAGACATATAGTGATAAAATTATAATGACAACAAAAAATTTGTCACAATATAACTCTATTATGACAACTTTAAATGACAACTATGACGTTTGTCACATATAGTCAATTAAAAATGACAAGTCCGTTTTTTGTCATAGTTGGTTGCCTAATATGACAAAAACTTTATGACAAAAATTATTTTGTCATTTAAGGTCAAATTTCTTGTAGTGTCTATGGTTGCTTCAGTATTTTGATATTTATGTTTCCATGGATGATTATATTTCAATGCTTATGATTCTATTGGATGCTACAATATGCATTGTTTATAATGTCATCTAGGATTTTAAGGGACTACTTTATTGTGATCCCATTTCATTATACGTGTATGGGAGGATTGATCACCCATCCATACAAGTATAATATCAATGCTTGATTATTTAGACAAATGATGCTATGAGCCTTATGTTATGGCTCAAGAGGCCCACACTTTAACTTAGTGATATCCTTACTTCTTTGTCATCAGTTAGTTGATAACATGAAGCGAAAGCACGCATCAGCTAGTTGTTATTCCTCTCGCATGTGGTGAAGCTCAGTTAGGAATGCGTTAATAGAAGGGATAGAGTGATATATATAACAAATGAATCATTGAGATGCATGATATAAATGAGAATTGGGATGCATATCTATTTAGAGTGATCTTTTCTACTCAATAACATATTTTTCCGCTTTTACTTTTCCTTGCATATATAAACTCAAAAATCACCTAAACATATTTATCTTTTATTGCTTTGCGAGTCGAGATATGAGTAGTTTGATGTGGGTAGTTATGCATTAGAAGACTAAGTGGAATATTATCATAGACATTTCTAGGATTTATCGTGTACCTTAGAAGGAAGTCTAGATAGCTATCATGGGCACCAATCTTCATTACTCCAAGTCTATCGGCTTTGTTAGAAGTGTCTAAATTTGAAACGTTCACACTAAAAGCAATAGTTAATTTTCTGAGGTTGTCTTGCCGCCTACTCATAGTTTCGTAAGCATGCAAGATTTCTAAGAAGATTACTGCATTTCGAAGAGGAACCCATAAGGAAAAGGTATGAATCTTCCATGACGAATAAGTGTGAGACTAATGGGGCTTCCCTATGGAGTTTGCAAGAACTTTGTGCATGAAATAGGAGTTCCAACATGAAAACTACCCAATCTAATGAAGAGTGTGGCGCAAGGTCCATAAACCGAAAGAAAAGGGTGGGATGGATTTAGGACTAGAACTATCAAATTATGTCCCCACTCATTGACCCAGCCCGGGCACGCTTGAGAAATCAAAATTGGGTTGAATCACTAAGGTCATGAGTCTTCCATGAAGCATAAGTGAGAGACTAATGGGGCTTCTCTATCGAGTTTCCAAGAATTTCGGCATGAGACAAGTGGTCCAACATGAAAAATACCAAGCTTTCCTATTGTGATTGACAAAGCAAAGAAGGTAGTCTTTATGGTTTTGGATGATAGAGTACGGAGGAAAATTAATCTTTGGAAGGAAATAATGATATTTATTAATGCTAAAGAAGTCTTGATAAGGTCGTAGCCAAACTGCAGGCCTTTTATACTATGTTAGTTTTTTTCCGTGTCAGATAGTGTTCTAATTGAGATAAGCAATATGATATTTAGTTTTTTGTGGGGCATGAGAAGGATAGGAGAATCTCACCAAGAGTGTGACACAAGGTCCATAAAACCCAAACGAAAGGGCGGGATGGGTTTTAGGACAAGACCTATTAAATTATGAGCCCGCACGTAGACCCAACCCGGACACGCCAAAGAAATCAAAATTGGGTTGAAGCTTTAATAACCCAAAACCGAAATGAACCAAACCCGATTAATCGTAAGTTTTTGGATTGAGTTGAGTGATTTAGTGGGTCGACTTGTTCCAGATCTAATTCACTCCCAAAATGATAAAATCGCACATGAATAGATTAGATGTTTAAAATAAGTCGCAAGGGTTTGGAAGACAAGTTTGGAGTCTAGGGATATTCAAATACCATGTGCTTTTTGTAGTATTATTACTCTCGTAATGTTTCTTTGGCATTTTGCGCAATTTGTATTTTCTTTCATAAACATGTGAGGATTTGAGAGTATGTGAATACATATGTGTTAGGTAAACTATTGCCATACATTTATGAAAATATATTTTCTTCAAAAAAATATGAAAAATGTTTGTTCTTCTTTCTGAAAACACTCATAACCCTAAATGACATGAAATCCTACTCGAACGTTTTGGGATGGGTCAATATTTGACAGCAAATTAGCCAACCCAAAATAACGCAATTCATTATGACCTGTAAGCGAGATCACCAACCTGACCCGGTTGCCAGGTATTTTTTGGATCGTAAAGCGTGGAACCTACTGTAAAATTCATAATAATTATAAGTCCTCAGGATGTTGAAAATCAAGTACTTCCTGAATATTAACAACTAACATTGTAAATCGGAATAGTAATCAAAAGCAATACGAGACATCAGATATACATGGTTTCCTCGTTCAATATGAACGAGACTACTCCGCGGAGAACATGCGTTCTCAGGATAATCACTATCACCAATTCAATGATGCACAATTACATGCTTACACGGTCACAGCCTTTACTGCTATTTATACTATCCTACAACACACGAGGATAGGGTTATAATTACCAAGCTATCTAATGGTCCTCCAACTCTTAATAAAGTACAAACAAGTCTAAACACGCCTCAAAACTCCCCCTCAAGCTGGATTGTGAAGATCACGAATGCCCAGCTTGGAAAATAACATGTGAAACTTTTCTTTGCCCAAAGCCTTCGTGAAGATGTCTGCAAGCTGGGATTTTGTCCCAATCTTTGTGGTCTGATCTCTTGGTACATAACTCGCTCACGAACGAAATAACAATCTATCTCAGCATGTTTTGTCCCTTCATGGAGAACAGGATTAGCAGCTATGTGTAGAGTTGCTTGATTGTCACAGTAAAGCATTGTAGGCTTCTATTGACGAACTCCCAATTCTTCAAGCAGAAAATGAAACCATAGTACTTCACTAACAGTGCTCGTCATTGCTCTACATTCTGCTTCAGCCAAGGATCTGGAAAAAACCTTTTGATTCTTTGTTCTCCAAGACACTGGTGCTCCTCCTAGTTGAATATAGTACCCAGTGGTCGACCGTCTGGTCATCTGGAAATTGTCTAATCTGCGTCACAATATGCGGTTAGCTCCAAATCCTCAATTGTCGAGAAGAACAAGCCTTGACCTAGTGAATTCTTCGAATACAGCAGTACTCGAACTGCTACTGCCACATGTTCTGGTCATGGATGATGAACAAACTATGTTAGGATATTAACATAATATGAAATGTCAGGTCGAGTTACTATGAGATATAGTAGACGACTAACCAAATGTCTGTACCCTTTGACGTCCGCCGCTATATCATCACTGAGACGAGTGAGGTTATGGTTCTCCTCCATAGGAAATCCACTAGGTCACGCTCCACTTACTCCTACATCACTGAGAATGTCAAGGATATACTTCCTATGGTTTAAAACTATTATGTCTGCCAGCCAAGCTACCTCGATCCCTGAGAAGTACTTTAGTGAACCCAAGTTCTAGATGCTGAAACGCTCATCGAGGAAATTCTTGACACGGTTTATGAAGGTCGTATAATTACTAGTGAGGATGACATCATCTACATATATAAGTGTTGCCACAAAAGCTTCTCTGTAGTCATATATCAACAAAGAATGATCTGCTAGTGAAGGTTTGAAGCCTGACTCTGAAAGTGTTCCAGTGAACTTATGATACCAATTCTGTGAAGCTTGCTTTAATCCATAGATTGACTTCCTTAATATGCAGACTCGGTTATCTCCCGGTGTTTCGAATCCCTATGGTATCTGCATGTATACCTCCTCTTCTAGATCACCGTGTAAACAGGTGTTGTTCACATCTAATTGGTGAAGATTCCATCCACATTTGAATACTATGACAACAGCACGCGAACTATAACTATCTTAGCTACTGTGCAAAAGTATCATGCAAGTCAACGCATCTTTGTCATAATCCACTTGAACAAACATCTTCTCTGCTAGCTCTTCGTCGTCCTCAAGTGGTGGTAAAACATTTAAACCTGAGTCTTTCAGCATGGATGCTGGCAACGATGATTTGTCTTTGAAAGGGAATAATGATTCCATCAAATGTATTGTAAATAATATATTTTCCGTGATTGGAGGTCATAAACACGGTAACCCTTTTGAGTAGACGGATAATCGAAAAATACACAAGGTCTCCCCTTCTTGACGAATTTATCGATGCTCGTTCAGGTATCTTCCGCATAATCCAAACAACTAAAGCTACAAAGATGAACATAAGATGGTGGCGGAGCAAGTAAGAGCTCATAAGGAGTCTTGTTCTTGAGAATTCGCGACGAGAGTCGATTAATCAAATAGCTGGTTTGAGGAGAGTATAAATACCCAATAAAGGTTGTGGCCGTGTAAGAATGTAACAGTGCAGCTTTGAGCTCGTGATAGTTATCATCCTAAGAACTCATGTTCTCCGTGGAGCAGTCTTGTTCATATTAAACGGGGAAACCACATATATCTGATTCCACAAAATATAACTCTCGTGAAGAATAAATTTTCCGTGACTAGAGATCATAAACACAGTAACCGTTTTGAGTAGTCAGATAACCGACAAATAGACACGGTGTCTCCCTCTCAACGAATTTGTCGAGGCTATGTTGGATATCTTTGGCATAAACCAAACAAACAAAGCTACGAAGATGAAGATAAGAGGGCGGCGGACCAAGTAAGAGCTCATAAGGGGTCTTATTCTTGAGAATTCCCGATGGGAATCGATTAATTAAATAGCTGGCTGTCACAACACACTCCCCCCAAAAAACTAACAGGTAAACCAGAATGAAAAAGAAAGGCACATGCCATTTCCAGGAGATGGTGGTGCTTGTGTTAGACAACGCCATTCTGTTGGGGATTGAACACACGAAGTGTGCAGAATAATGTAGTTAGTGGCAAAATAATCCCTCAAAACCTCGGTTTGTAACTCCAAACCATTATCTATCTGTAACCTACGAACGACCAATTGAACTGAGTCCGAATCATCTGACTGAAATGCAGGAGATATCGCTCCTCACCAGATTTAATTTGAGCAAGTATACCCAAGTGGTTTGACTACAATCATCCACCATGGTAATGAAATAATGAACCATCCATAGAAGGAGTGCCATAACCTCCTCAAATATCCAAATGAACAAGTTCAAAATAGATATTGGTCTTGATAGACTAAGAAACAAAAACTAGAGTCCAAAAAACTACAAAACATGCTTCAAAGAAAATAACTTTGAGAGGGAGGGTGCCCCAATCGAGAATGCCATAGCTCCGACAAAGTTCTCCGGGCTATAGCAAAACTGAGATCTCTCATGACGCTATGTCCTAACTCCTCAATCCACCAAAGAAAGTATAGCCATTCATGAAGATGCACATTCCAATCATGGTCCTAGAGCGTAAGTCCTGTATGACGCAGAGATTAGCCAAGAAAAAGATGTCAACATTGTGAACATGGAGAACTCTTTTGAGTGTGGTATGGTATTCAAAACCAATGAACCGACTCCCTGAACTGGAATATGAGGACCCAAATCTATGGTACTGAGCCAACGTGAATCACGAATGATATGTACAATGAAACCTGAATCGATAATCCATTTAGAAAGATCAGGAGTTGTTACCGGCCATATGAGTAGTGGACTCATTAGAAGTAGGCGCTGATGTAGAGAGGACCTCTTTCAGGCAAGCAATTTAGGCCGCACTAAGCCTCGAGATGGGACTCTCATCTCATCACCTTCCACCTGAGTGGCACGCGGGTTCTATCTTCCATCCTGACTCGCTCTATCTATCACAATAATATCTCACTTAAGGTCCAAGTATAAGCCTTAGATGGGTGCAATATATGGCAAGTATGTTTAAATATTGACCCGGGCCGGTCCATGTACTGCTACTTTGACTGTTTGAAACATTATCTAGCGGATTAGTTTTGTTGAAAACAAAGGTTTAAAACTAAATTACTTTGCAAAGGTAAAATGGATTTTACTCTAGTTGAGAAAGCTTCACCCGAGTGTTGCTCCCCCTAGCTAACAATTTTTACTTGAAGAATCGAACGACTATGAGTGGTTAAGTGGTCATAAACCGCAGGGAAGTCTAACAAGCAACCAAGGTTACCATCTTAGACTCTAGGTTGAGGAATGGGATACGATCCAAGACACTAATGTGACCCTCTCAACCTATCGACTAAGGAATGGTTAGACTTCACCCTCGAATTGGAGTTCGGACGGCCACCTAGAACCAAACCCTAAGTGTTTAATACAAATTAAGAGGTTTGCCCTTTAACTAACCTAGACTAGGAGGCATAGAATGCCCAAGGAAACCCATCTCGAAATGAGCCTCTTAGGTTAAGGAGGGTTGTCTCTAAACTAGTTTAGGAGGCTTTGAATGCCCAAGGAAACTAAACCTCTCGGGTGAAGGAGGTTTCCTCTCCAAACTAGCCTAGGCGGCATGAAATGCCCAAGAACCCCATCTCAATACTGAGCCTCTTAACCTAAGGAGGTTTCCTCTCTAAACTAGCCTAGGAGGCATGAAATGCCCAAGAACACCCAATGAACCTCCTAACCTGAGGAGGTCTACTCTCTAATCTAGGTTAGATGGCAATTAGATTGATAGGCTTTCACACAACATAATCATTTCTGAATAATACCTCCACATTCACATTAAAACAACCCACACACAAATCATTCAATTCATACAAGTATTTGAGAAATATGTAAAAGTAAGAGCGGAAACGAACAATACGCGATTTACGTGGTATCCCCGATTGCCGGGACTAGTCCACGGGAGAGTAATCACTCTCTAGTTTAGGTTTTATTATTCTGGTTCTTATGGTGGCCGATGGCCATTACAAGCATTTATATACCCTTTACACCAATTCCCTATGGTAATACAGCCAACACACGTACAAGGGCTAGCTACATGGTCTGCATGCAGACGTGTGGAGGGCTGGGCCTCGGTCTGGTTATCACGGCCCAATACTCCCCCGCAAGTTGAGACGGGAAGGACACGAACGCTCAGCTTGGATAGGAGAAAGCGAAATCGATCAGCACCCAAGCCTTTAGTGAAAAGATCAGCCAGCTGCAGGTGGGAGGTGAATTTGAGAGGAACAATATGACCACTCTGGACGCGTTCCCGAACGAAGTAACAATCCATCTCTACGTGCTTAGTGCGCTCATGAAATACGGGATTAGCAGCAATATGTAAAGCCGCCTGATTATCCCAATAAAGCGGAGTGGATGCCGGCTGGGGAACACCCAGTTCAGAGAGAAGCCAACGGACCCAAATAACTTCACTAACCGTACTAGCCATGGCGCGATACTCAGCTTCAGCAGAAGAGCGAGCAACAACATGTTGCTTTTTACTGCGCCAAGAAACCGGCGCGCCACCCAAGCTGATGAAGAAACTAGTAGTAGACCATCGCGTACTCTCACAACCACCCCAGTCGGCTTCACAATAAACAACAAAATTAAGAGAGCGATTAGCAGGGAAGAACAAACCCTGACCTAGGGAGGACTTGAGGTAGCGGAGAATACGATGAGCGGCATCGAGGTGAAGCTGACGAGGAGCCTCAACAATCGGTTTGAGGGAGAAGGTAAGTCCAGACATTGACGCGTCCAGACATTGCCTACGGCATAGAGGTTTACCCTACATTAACCTAGGTAGGTGGCTTGTCAAGCCCAACGAATCCCAACTCAATTGAGCCTCATTTTGAAAAGGGGGGGTTTCCCCTCTAACCCATGTTAGAATGGCCAATTAGATTGTTAAGCACACACATGCACAAGCACCATGAAAAATACCCCAATCATTAAATTAAACAACACCCATAAACAATCATTCAAGTCACACTACAACTACATGGCAAATAGTTAGGGTTTCACAACACCCAAGTGAAAAAGAGTACTACTCCATGCTAGAAAGGGGAAGAACACAAGAGGAAAAGGTAGAAACCATCATGGAGATGCCTCCAATCTCCCCTAAGCTTGTGTTGATATTCTCTTGAGGAGATTCTTCCCAATTCACCACTTGGAGCAAACCATAGCCTTCCTTCTTCCTTGGTTCGTCCTTGCTCTCTCTAAAATCTGAAGAAGAAGACACTTTCTCACACTTGGGCTCCCCTTTCTCTCTTTCTTTCAGCTCACCCTTTATACCAGGATCGGGCTCAATTCACGGCCTTAGTTCACGGTCGTGAATTCTTCAACGCGTCCGTGAACAAAAGTGCAATGTAAAAACGCACCGCTTCGCCACCAAAAGTTCACGATTTGGCCTCAATCATCACGGTCTTGTTGACCGTGAAGTCGCCTCGCACCATTAACTGCAGATTTCACCCTAGACGCATCGCGGTTCACGGTTTTAGGATTCAATTCACAACCATAGTGGACCGTGAACTCCAATGATAATCTTTGAACTCTGCAATGGATCGGGTTGGGTCGGGTTTTTCCAAACCAAAACCCAAGGGTTTATCAGTGAAAAAAACCTGGGGTAAAACCCACTGGGTTTGAAAAACTCAAACCCAACCGAACCCGCTGGGTATCTGCGGGTTCACGGGTACCCACGGGTTTTTGTCGTAAATAATTTACAATAACAAGTTCCTAGCTATCAAAATTAAAGTCAAATATCAATCTCTCAATACAAATTATCCATATATAAACCACCATTCTAGAAAATTCAGGCAAATCATAAATTAACTATACAAATTGTTCAACTCCAATCTAGAAAACTCAAGAAAATTTAAATAAATCATAAATTATCCATAAATAACATGATCAATTGAAAGCTTCTTCTTTTCAATTAAGTGTCTTCACTCTCCACTCGATAACATCAACTTCAGTCTACACAATTAGAAAGAAAAAATTAAACATGTCTCCACAAACATGAATAAGATTAGTTGTTTAGAATATTAAATTTATCGAGAAAATTAAATATATGGGTATGGGCGGGTACCCATGGGCCGGGTTTAACTAAACCCGAACCCAACCTAACCCGGTTAATAGTGAATGGTTTTAAACCCAAACCTGGCACAAAAACCGTCAACACGGATTTGGACCCGTGGGTTCGGGTTTTGATGCCATCCCTATTCACAACACACAAGTGAAAAAGAGTACTACTCCATGCTAGAAAGGGGAAGAACACAAGAATAAGAGGCAGAAACCATCATGGAGATGCCTCCAATCTCCCCTAAGCTTGTGTTGATCTTCTCTTGGGGAGATTCTTCCTAATTCACCACTTGGAGATGCCTCCAATCACCCCTTTCTCTCTTCCTTTCAACTCACCATCTATACCAGGATCGGGCTCAGTTCACGGGGGTGAACTCTTCAACGCGTCAGTGAACGCAAGCGCGATGTCGAAACGCAAGCGCCATCACGAGTTCACGGTTTGGCCTCAATCTTTACGGTCTTGATGGCCGTGAACTCTCCACGCGCCAGTAACTGCAGATTTCTCCCTGGACGCATCGCGGTTCACGGTTTTCAGCTTCAGTTCACGGCCATAGTGGACCGTGGACTCCAATACTAATCTGTGAACTCCGCCTGGATCACTCTCTTTGCCCGGTCTTCACCTCTTTTCGTCCAACTTTCGACACCGGGACTGGTTTCACCAGTTGGATCCAGAAACACACTAAAACGTACAAAACCTAGCGTAAAACCACACTTTTAGGAGTCCAAATGCTACAATCGCCCAAGGGAAACAAGGATAAAATGTGTGCAATTAGGCCCAAATCATCAACGTTTGGCCATGAATTGCGACTGTCTCCACCTCATTGCCCGGTCTTTGCTCATTTTCTTCCAACTTTTGACTCCGGGTTTGGTTTTACCTGTTAGGATCTGAAACACACTAAAACACAAACAACCTAGCGTAAAACCAACCTTTTTGGAGTTCAATTGCAATAAACGTCAAAGATAGCCGGGGGTAAAAAGTGTACAATTAGGCCCGAATCACGTCCCCTCTAGGATGCCGTGAACTGCCCACAATATTTCCATCGTGATCTCCCTGACAGTTCTTGTTTTGATCACCCGGATAGCCTATAATCTTGAAGTAAGAATCCATAGAGAAGGCATCATACAGTCCAAGAAGGAACTCAAACAAACACTCAATATCTTGCTACTCGCGGGTTTGCCCAGCAGTATCACAAGTGCAATTGCCATACTTACATTGTGGGTTGAGATTAGCAGCTTGGAGCTTATCCCAAGAGGTGCAAAATTTTGTGTAGAAGGAAGAGGCACTATGCTTTGCATGTCGCACCAGATGTCACGTGCCGTTCTTGCTCCCCGAACCCTATTACGTACCTCTTTGCTCATTGCCGTCTTCAGCCATCCTTTCACAGTAGCATCGTAACCGCCCCATACCTCATAACATATGTCAGGTCCAACCTTAAATCTCGGTAGAGACCCATCAACGAAAGCCATTTTGTTCTTTGCAATTATGGTTAATGTCATATCCCTAACCCATTATATTCACTGTCATCTAAATCCGTCAATAGATCGCTGCCAAATAATTGGCCAGGATTCTCCGATGGGTGAAGACAAGAGGGAGACGTGAGTTGAATCACAACAACAACCGACGACCCGCCCTCCGTCTCATTATTGAGGTCTTCTCAGCGATCGTGTAAACTTGGAGTTAAGAAGCGTGTGATTGATCATAGCTCTAATACCATGTAAGCGAAATAAAATTCAAAAGTAATACAAGACACCAAATATACGTAATTTTTCGGTTCAATATGAACGAGACTACTTTACGGAGAACGTGAGTTCTCAGATGATCACTATCATGAGCTCAAGGTTGCACTGTTGCATGCTTACACGGCGGTAACCATTACTGGATATTTATGCTTTCCTACAACACACGAGAGTAGGGTTATAATTACCAAACTATCTAATGGTCCTCCAACTCTTAATAAAGTACAAACAAGTCTAAACACGTCTGAACAACTCGAGGATGTGTTAATCGAAGTTTTCTGTGGTGTATTTTATGGCTAGTTAGGAATCAGTACTGAGAGATAGACAAAATGGCAGATCGACTATGAAAATAAATGTGGATCGAAATAGGATGGAACAAATGGGTTCCTGATGCAGAGGTGAGTAATTTCTAGGTGAAAACACTGCATATGTTATGACTATAAGAGTGAAAGCTAAGGTAGTGGCGCTGGCACATTTTATTCCCATATATAGAGCATAGAGAAGTAGTGTTCCTAGCTATTCCAAAGAAATTAAGGTATCGTTTACTTGTGAGATTTGGGTATAGAGAAAAGGGTTGACACACTGTCAAATATGGACTATATCTGGCGAGCTAAGAAGGAAGAAGACCCAAATGATTATGAAAAGATTGATACTTAATAGTATTAAAATTAATGATCGAAATCAAATGGATGAAACTCTATCCTAATTTGTGATTCTAGTATGATATTTATTGAACAAAAGAAAGATTCAACCATTCATCAATCCAAAAATGGAAGAATGGGCGATGGCCGAGAAACCGCACCTGGGAAAAGCCACCATTATAGTCACTTAATAATCTATTGGAGGAATATCATTCTCATCATTTGACATAAAATGGAGAGCTTAGAGCTAAAAATTGCACCTGGGAAAAGTCACCATTATAGTCACTTAAAATCAATGTGGATGAGGATATTTTTCAAACTCAAACCACTAGATATATAAACGGTTTGGTAGTTAGGGATGATCATGACCACTTTTGTTATGTTCTCCTGTTATTAATTTGTGCAGCTAATCCAACGATTGAATGTTCACCTATTTTGAACTTTATATATGTGATCGATAAAATTTTATCATTATCGTAATTCTCTTTATCCGATCGATCAAATTCTTAAAAGGTATGTAGATAAAAAAAATTCAAATTCACAGTAATTTCAATCAAAACCCTAAAAGAACCAAACAAAGAAAAGACACATTCTAGCTTGCTCGATCTCACCAAGTACTATCCATAGTTAACCCGAAGAATAACTTAATCCGTAACTATACTAATCAACGTCAATAGTTTAGATAAACATATTTTGGTCATATGTTCATTGTTCAAACTGGCTCATATATTTGAAAAGAACATTGACTCAAATTTTCAACATTTAACGTGTCAAATGAAAAAAATAATAATAATAACCAACACTCTTAAGTAACAATATATCCAATATCATTGCTTATACTTCCTTATATACAAATATTGACCGGAGAATCTAATCAAACATTTTCTATCGTCTTTCTCACCAGCCTCGTCGTTACAAGTGCACCAGTTACCCCTCCTATATGATCGGACGTGAGCCTGCCTTCCATTTTCATCTACAAATATTACAAGAAAATCCTCTAGATCGAGAGATCGAGAGAGAGAGGGAGAGAGAGAGAGCGATCGTAGAATCACGCCGAGTGATTGCGAAAAACCCACCGGATCGAGAGAGAGATCAGAAAATCTAATGAAATGATTTTGAATTCGTTTACTCTGTCTTACTGATTTAGAAGGAAAAAAGAATGAAATTGAGCTGGAAAGAACGAAACCGAAATGGGGGTTTCTGGACTGGGAAACGAAACAATGAGGTCTCTGGGTTGTGTATTAACTAGTTATATTATGTCTATAAGACTATAACAGGGGTTCATGAACCCTTGCAACTAACCGTTGCAAGAG